GGAAGACACCCACTCTCCTAGCCCCGCGGGTGATGCAGCGCCCCCTCCCCTGACGCCCATCCCCCAAGACTCCGCGCCCCTCCCACCGCATCCTCCCCTGCATCCCGCACCCTCCCCGTGCCTCCCCTGCCCATGTCCCCTCCCACCGCATCCTTGCCTGCATCCCGAGCCTCCTCCCTCAGAGTCCCTTCCCCCAGGGCTCCGCGCCCCTCCCCCCACGTACCCCTCATCCCTCCCCCCAACCCCGCCGCCACCCCCGCCCACTTCCCTCCGGCGCCACCGCGGCTGTCACGCGATGGGGCCCGGCCAGGGCCTCGCGTGCGAGCAGAGCTGCCGCCACCGCCCCCGCCCCGCCCCGCCCCGCCGGGCTGTGGCCAGAGGAGAATCCGAGGGGCCCGGGACGCCACCGCCGGGACGCATCCGATCCTGCTGCCCTGGGGTCTTCGTTCTGGGCCCAGCCGGTGTTAAGGCCCAGGTCACATGCCCTGGTCGGGGGCCATTCAGGCTGGAGGCCTCTCTGCAGGCTGTGTCAGCCCCTCTTGACCTGGGAAAAGCCCACTCTTGAGGACCCAGAGCTTCCCCTCCCCGACCTCACCCCTGCCCAGGGACAGAGGCCACTGGTGGGACTGCCTGTGGGAAGGCAGGGAGTTGGAGGAGGCGCTCCAGGGACCACCAGGGTGCTTGGAGGAGGTGCAGGGCATCCTCTGGCAGAGGCCCCAGGCCCCAGAGGTGCCTGGCCCAGGACCCAGCCTGGGCTCCAGCCGCTGACTGAACTGACCACTCAGCAGGCTCCACGCTAGGGCCCAGGCCCCTCCTGCCCGCTGCCTCCCACCTGCTCCACCAGGCAAGAGCCCAGTTCACCAGGGTGCAGATCCAGGGCCTGGGGTCTGCTCTGCTACAGCTCCCGCACGCGCGCACACACACACACACGCGCGCGCACACACACCAGCCCTCCCCAGTGTGCGAGGAGGGGAGGGAGGTGTTCCCTTCCCAGCCGTTCCAAAGCCTCCCACAAACACTGCATCGATTACTTGCTCCTGGATTCGAGCAGAGAGCATGGGAGGCAGCACCAGGGAGGCCCTGTGAAAGTGCTGGGCAGGCCTGGCTCCCACAGGCTCCTGTGCCACAGCCGTGTGCCCAGGGCTGTGTGTCTCTATGTCGCCCGGTGCTTCTGGTGAAGAGGAGACCAGAAGACTGGGCTGCCTCCCACCCCTGGACGATGCTGCCATGCCCCCAGCTCCAGGGCATCACAGCAGGTGGCGCTGGGCAGTGGCCACGCAGCCCTGGAGCAGGCAGGCCAGCAGGAGCAGAGATGGTCCAGGGCTGCAGCTGAGCTTCCTGGTGTCCCGCAGGCTAAGTAAAGTGCACTTGGATCTTCCAGAGATACAGAGGCAGGCCCCGGCCGGAGCTGGGGAGCTCCAGGGGACGGGAAGGAGAGAGGTAACAGAACTCAAGCAGGGAGGGCGAGGAGATGCCCCTCTCCAAGGCCCCTGCACACGCCCCCACCCCGCGTCTGGGATGGAACAGCCTGTCCTCGCGGGCGCCTCGACCCATTCCCCAGGACATGTGGGCCGGGCCGTACGGAGTCCCCATGCCCCAGCCGGGAAGGAGAGGCTGCAGCCCACCGCCCCACAACCCCCTGCAGAACACCCTGGGAAGCTGGACCCAGAAACACTGCCATGGGTGAGCAGGGAGTTGAGCAGGGCGTGCCCCACCCGGCCCGGGGGGGACAAGTGAAGCCAGCAGAGGGGCCCGCTTCCGTGCTGCACACGCGGGTGCCTTGCAGAGGTCCTGGGCACAGCCGCCCACACCTGCCTCAGAGCCTGTGAGGAAAGCCCCGACTGCCCCCCGCCTCTGCCTCCACTCTGTCCTTGGTGGGCATGGCAGCCGACAGCCCTGGCTGCACAGCAGGTGAGCGAGCGTCAGGCAGGCTCCGGGAAGCGCGTGAGAGCAGCAGGTCCTCCAGGGTCACAGCAGGGGCTGGCTCCACAGTCCTGGGAGGACGCTCAGCCCCCTGGGGGCCAGGACAGTCAGGTCCAGGGCAGCTGGATCCAGGACAGATAAGCCCCACTGCATGTGGGACGTGGGGGCTGGCCAGAGCTCTGTGCACCTGCTCAGGGCGGGAATCAGGTGTCTGCCCCCTGGCGTCTCATTGGTCCAGAAAGTCGGGGGCCCCAAGGGCACTGCCTTTGTTGAACAGGCCCTGTCCACAGGCCAGCCCCTCCCAGATGTGCCCATGTGGGGGTTCATGTGTGTCACTGTCATGTCACTGCCATGACTGGGCACAGGGTCTGTCTCAGCAATGGACTCAGTGCAGGGGGCAGGCCTCTCAAGTGGGGTGGGTACCTGCAACCCACCAGGGCCCGAGGAGAAAGGGGCCTGTCCCCGCCCCTTCCTCCTCGTCCCCAGGATGTAGGCGGCACACAGTAGGACGTGCTGGCCTCCACCTGCATGGGCCAGGCCCTCATACCAAACGTCCACCGGCGCCCTCCCTGATGCTGCCTGTTTCTCCGACGGACTTGGGCATGTAGTCCAGGAACACGGATCCAGGCGGAAGTGCAGTGCACCTGCTCCCCAGGACCATGAGGGACCCCAGGAGAGGACCAGGTGGTACTAGGGAGGCAAGGTGTGTGCTCACTGTGTGAGATGGGTGTGTGAGATGCATGTGGTCACTGTGTGAGGGGTGTGTGTGGTCACTGTGTGAGGGGTGTGTGTGGTCACTGTGTGAGATGGGTGTGGTCACTGTGTGTGGTGTGTGTGTGCTCACTGTGTGAGGTGTGTGTGGTCACTGTGTGTGAGAAGTGTGTATGATCACTGTGTGTGATATGAGCATGGTCACTGTGTGTGAGATGCGTGTGTGTGTGGACAACGTATGTTGAGGACTAAGAATACTGGGCAGAGGGCAGCTGAGGCCACTGCTGTGACCGTGGCTCACTGACCAGAGCCTGAAGTCGCCCCTGAGGAGCCCTGGGGAGTGAGGACACGTGGGGACAAGGACCCCAGCCAGCAGGTGTGGGTGGGCTGTGTCCTTCCAAAGTCCTTAGTGACAGCTTCGGGGCATGGGGGTTAAAAACGCCCCGGTTGCTCTAGCAACCAAACAGTGCCCAGAGTACAAACAGCCGCACGCACGTTGCCCGAGCCCGCGTTTGGAGAATGCAGGCTGCGTCTGTCTTTCCAGATCCTCGGGAGGCAGCAGCAGCCTGGGAGACCCCTGCACACCACGCCTCCCAGCCAGCGGGGACGGGACGCCGTGGCAGCAGCACATGCTGGTCTCTGGTTTCCGAGCCTTGCTGAGCCCCGGGGCTCCTGTGCTAACCCCAGCCACACACTTGTGCCGAGGAAACGCACCCTCTTTCAGCCGTGTCAGCGTGAAAGGCGCAGCCACAAACAGCTCTCTGGGGGAGGAAGGACGTGATGTGTGCCCAACGCGGCTCCATGTTCTCTGCCTGATGTGAAACATCTGGGGCCAGCACAGCGCCCGGGTGCTCTTGCTGTCGCAACAAACCAGCGGAGAGCCAGTCAGCGACAGGCCACGGTTCAAGACACCAAAAGGGGCTGCAGCTGTAAAAGCCAAACACGTACTCGGCAACCTCCCAGCGCACAGTGTGACGGCACGGGCAGGACCCACGGGACGGACAGAGCTGTGACCTGGCCTTGCTGGTGACGCCCTGACGGTGTCTCCTGGGCAGCTCTGCCCAACACCTGTCCTCTGCGGTGAGGGCGAGGGCAGTGGCCTGCTGAGTCCTGCACTGTCCACCTACAGGTGCACACACCGCCCAGCTGCACATCACATCACAGTGCCAGAGTGCGACTCTCTGCAAACGACGAGCTCACGACGCTCCATGGCTGTGGACTTGCAGACAACCCTGGCGTGGAGTCGGCCTGCCTGTCGGCCATCATCGACGTCACCCATCACTGTGGTGCTTGCTCCTCTCAGAGCCTGGCCACCTTCACAGCCTTGGACACAGCCGTCTGGGATGTGGCCATTTGTGCCTGGGCTCTCATGCACCCTTCAGCATCCGTTATGCCCATCCCTGCCGTGGGGACACACAGAGCAAGGCACACCAGAGCCTGGGCCACGGGCCACATACAGAGGAGAAAACAGCAGGGAGGGTTGTCGTAAAAGCATGGCCAGGCGTGGCCTCCTGAGGACTGGAAAGTCACAGGTGCACCATGTGACCAGGGCAGCCCCCTGGCCCAGGCACTACTCCCTGTCAGCACCACATCCAAGTTGTGCTCGCATTTCGCACCTGAACCCCACAGCCACTGCTGTCCACATGCCTGCCCCCCAGCCACAGGCCACGGTGCAGACCCACGTCTGTGAGAGCGGGTGGTGAGCAGTGTGCTTCCGAAATTTCTCTTCACAAGAGGCCTGCGTGCCCCATCGTGACACGCCTTGCCCCCTGAGCGTGCATGCGCACCCACATGGGCGGGACCACGGCTACCCCGCAGGCCCCCGCATGCTATGGCCGCCCTGTCCGCTGGGGCCCCTCTCTCTACCAGGTGCCTGTGGCCACCAGCACCCAGCCTCCTGGAAACCCCGCCATTGCCATTGGCGTTGCATTTTGAGATGACCTGAGCGCGCAGGAAGGGGGCTGGAACGGCACCAGGCACCCCCATGTCCTCTGCCAGACTGCACTGGGGTCCACCCTCTGCGCCTCAGCCTCGAGCCCCTGCCCCATTCCCCACCCCCGCTCAGTCTCGCCGGGCCTTCAGGGGCCCTCGAGTGGGGCTGTCTGCTGAGACCAAGGGCACGCAGGCTGCACCCACTCATCCTGCGGTGTGGCGCCACACGAGGTCATTCCTCCTGCGTCAGTGCTGGTCCCTGAGACGGGCAAGGCTGCCCCCCGAGGGCGTCCCCACTCGTAAGTGCCAGAGGCCTCCCCTTCCCACCCTGGGTTCACACTAGCTTCAGCACCTGCTGATTTTCCTGCCTGGACGGAAGGACTGCGCGTGCTGAGCTCACCGCGCTGTCAGTCAGCAGTCTACTGTCCCGAAAACGCCCATCCACTCGCTCGCTCACTCGCCTGTGTCAGTGTGGCCCTACAGGTCCTGCTTCACCCCTGCTTCTACCCACTTCTGCTTTTCACTTCAGTGCAGAAACTGCCCCGCACTGGCTGGGGGAGCCAGTGGCTGTCCAGGGCCCTGGGCTCCCCCTCAGGCCCCGCCTGGCGCTCTGCAGCAGCTCCGCCCCAGATCTGCCCTGGACTCACCAAGGGCTGCCCCCCACAGCTCCTTTTAACAGTGAGCAGACTTTAGAAACCAAGACTGAATACGGATGTGCTCGCTGCTGGGGGAGGGGATTCATGGCTCCCAGAACCCCAGTGGACAGAGCTGTGTGTGTGAACATGCACACGTCACACACGCGTTCAGCACCACACACGTGCTCATGTCTTCGTCTTTGCCTGTTGAAACCACAAGTTCACACCAACACCTCCAATTCCAGCTTAACCCCACAGGACTTGGTACAGAGTAGAATTATTTTTCCTTTAATATTTGGTAGAAATTGCCTTAAAACTTTAAGATTTAAACAACGAGTCGTATTTCAATGGTCTCACGGTCATTCGGCCTCCTCTTTCTTCTTGAGAAGGTTTTAGTAAGCTACGTTTTCTAGGAACTGAGTCATCTACCTTTTCAAACTTCAAACTTCTTGGTGGGATGTCGAAAGCCTCGCCCATCTCACAAGACCTTGAGGTCCACGCTCCACCATCCCACAGCTCTGTGGCAGCCGCCTGGCCCTTCCCTCTCGAGCCAAGGGGGCTACAGAGCTGGCCCCCGCCCACACTGGCAGTGGTAGCCCTGGTGACCTCCCAGCCACCTTTCTGGAGGCACAAGGCCAGGGGCTGAGCGGCTCCACCGCCGCCTCTGGTTCCCTCAGTCAGGCTACAGGGACTGCACTGCCAGGGTCCCCCTCTGCCCCCGGCTTCTGCTGAGGCGGCTGACTGCACCTGTGTCCACACCCGGTCTCTCACCTGTGCTCACACCATCTCTCACCTGTGTCCACACCATCTCTCACCTGTGTCCACACCATCTCTCACCTGTGTCCACACCCGGTCTCTCACCTGTGTCCACACCATCTCTCACCCGTGTCCACACCATCTCTCACCTGTGTCCACACCATCTCTCACCTGTGTCCACACCCGGTCTCTCACCTGTGCTCACACCCGGTCTCTCACCTGTGTCCACACCATCTCTCACCTGTGTCCACACCATCTCTCACCTGTGTCCACACCCGGTCTCTCACCTGTGTCCACACCATCTCTCACCTGTGTGCACACCATCTCTCACCTGTGCTCACACCCGGTCTCTCACCTGTGCTCACACCATCTCTCATCTGTGCTCACACCTGTTCTCTCACCTGTGCTCACACTTGGTCTCTCACCTGTACTCACACCATCTCTCACCTGTGTCCACACCCGGTCTCTCCCCTGTGCTCACACTTGGTCTCTCACCTGTGTCCACACCATCTCTCACCTGTGCTTACACCATCTCTCATCTGTGTCCACACCCGGTCTCTCACCTGTGCTCACACTTGGTCTCTCACCTGTGTCCACACCCGGTCTCTCACCTGTGCTCACACTTGGTCTCTCACCTGTGCTCACACCCGGTCTCTCACCTGTGCTCACACCATCTCTCACCTGTGCTCACACCATCTCTCACCTGTGTCCACACCCGGTCTCTCACCTGTGTCCACACCATCTCTCACCTGTGTCCACACCATCTCTCACCTGTGCTCACACCTGGTCTCTCACCTGTGCCCACACCATCTCTCACCTGTGTCCACACCATCTCTCACCTGTGTCCACACCCGGTCTCTCACCTGTGTCCACACCATCTCTCACCTGTGTCCACACCATCTCTCACCTGTGCTCACACCTGGTCTCTCACCTGTGCCCACACCATCTCTCACCTGTGCTCACACCTCGTCTCTCACCTGTGCTCTTGATTGAATGCTTATTCATCCACATCCTAGTGTCCTCTCAGAACACTGATTCTTTCGTAATATGAAAAGTCTGAGAATTTACCAAATGTTTTAAGTTCTGGTTCCTCTTCTCTTAACAGTTCCATTTATGTCTCTCACATGTTACTATTAGCAGCGAGGAGAAGCAAGGGTGCACCTTCAACACTTTGCTTAGAAATCTCCTCAGCTTAGGGGCTGGCGCTGTGGTGTAGCAGGTAAAGCCGCCGCCTGCAGTGCCGGCATCCCATATGGGCGCCAGTTCGATTTCCAGCTGCTCCACTTCCGATCCAGCTCTCTGCTATGGCCTGGAGAAGCAGTGGAGGATGGCCCAAGTCCTTAGGCCCCTGAACCCACGTGGGAGACCTGGAGGAAGCTCCTGGCTCCTGGCTTCAGATTTGCGTAGCTCCAGCCATTGTGGCCAACTGGAGAGTGAACCAGTGGATGGGGACTTTCCCTCTCTCTCTGCCTCTCTTTCTCTCTGTGTAACTCTTTCAAATAAATAAATAAATAAATCTTAACAAAAAAGAAAGAAAGAAACCTCAGCTCAATGCCAGTCTCCCCACGCCCCAGCTCTGCTTCCGGCAGAAGGGCCAGCTCTCTGCCTCTACAGCAGGGTCCCCTCCCTCCTGTCTGCAGCGCAGGCTCCTCATGTCCACGTGAGTGCCCCATGTCCAGCCTCACAGTTGTGCACCGTCAGTTCTCCACAGCGCTCCTCTCTCTGAGGTGGACGAGAGGGCTCCTGATGCCCACACTGCTACCTCAGCCTGCGAGCCAGGCTCTCCTAGCCTCTGCCCAGGACCCTGGTCCCAGCTGCCTGCGAGCCAGGCTCGCCTAGCCTCTGCCCAGGACCCTGGTCCCAGCTGCCTGCGAGCCAGGCTCTCCTAGCCTCTGCCCAGGACCCTGGTCCCAGCTGCCTCCGTGTTACCAGGAATTTGTTCACCAGAACCAAGCATATCAGTATCAGAATCTGCTTATCACAAGCTATCACAGACAGGGGCTGGTGCTGTGGCGTAGAAGGTGAAGCGACCACCTGCAGTGCCAGCACCCCATATGGGTGCTGGTTCAAGTCCCGGTTGCTCTACTTCTGATCCAGCTCTCTGCTAATGCACCCGGGAAAGCGGTGGAAGATGGCCCTGCACCCATGTGGGAGTCCCGGAAGAAGCTCCTGGCCTCTGGCTTTGGCCTGGCCCAGCCCTGACCACTGCGGCCATTTGGGGAGTGAACCAGCAGATAGAATCTCTCTCTCTCTCTCTCTCTCTCTCTCTCTCTCTCTCCCTCTCTCTGTATTTCTGCCTTTCAAATAAATAAATAAATCCTTAACAAATTTTAAGACTGGCAGTTGAAACACAGGAGTTTCTTTCCGCAGTCCTGGAGGCTGGAACTCCGTGATCAGCTGCTGGCTGACTGAGCTCTGGTGAGAGCTCTCCCTGCTGGGTGCTCACAAGGGCCTCCTCTTGCCAGGGCACCAGCCCAGCAGAGCAGGACTCATTAAATCTTCTCCACCGACAACCACGCCGGGGACTTCAGCTCATTTTCTAGGGGACACAGCCACTCACAGCACAAGGATCAAGAGGAGGGCACGCGCTCAGCAGAAACAAGCCAGCACCCGCCGCCCATCGCTCCACCATCCTGGGTCTCAGGGACACGCCGCTCAGTGTGGCATTCCACACACACATGACACCACGGGGCTTCTGCATGCATCCCACCCAAACCCCACGTGACACCACGGGGCTTCTGCATGCACATCCCACCCAAACCCCACGTGACACCACGGGGCTTCTGTGCACATCCCACCCAAACCCCACTCGGCCCCGATGAGCATGACTCCCAGTGTGTGTGTGCAATCAAGTTCCTGGGGATGGACTCAGGAAGGGGCCCAAGCCACCACGGGGAATGTGGATGACAGAGGGGGACGGAGCAGGAAGGGCTGCAGGTGTCCAGGAAGTGGTCCGCTCCCTCTGCTGTTTGTTTTCTGAGACCACCCCCCACCCCAGGCACTCCCCCTCCAACATAAGAACACCCATCCATTTGCCCTGACCAACACTGCTGTCCCCATGAGTCATCGTTGGAACGACTTGGTCCACCCACCGGGCCTGGGAGGGCCTTCAGCCGCTGGTCATCAGTGCCCTGAGGTTGTCTACTCCTAGGCACCTTTCCTCGGCCTCCCCTCCCTGACCACAGGGTCTCCCTGGGAAGACAGGACCTCCAGACAAGTGGGCTCTGTGGTGCTTTTGCCGTGACAGTGCCTCCAACCGCAGCTGGACTTAGTTCGGGGCTCAGAGCTTCTCTGACTCTCGCTGTCTGCTCAGGGTCAGCATCCCGGCTCCGACCCAGGGCTGAGCCCTGCCCTGCAATGGGGACAGCAGACACAGCTGAGGCCTGCGTCTGCCCAGCCTCCTTCTGCTTCTCGGAGCAAGTCCACCCCCTCACACTTTTGTTTGAGCCCCGAATTTCCCCTTTTGAGAACAGCAAAGTTTATAAGAGTGGAAAATCCCAACCCCAGCAGTTGGCCACAGGGGAGACAGAAGCAGGAGGCTCGTGTGAGTCCAATAAAAGTGTCAGCCCCTGCTCCCTACAAACCAGGGCAACAAGAGCAAAATGCAGCCCACTGCTGTTTACCAGTCCACGGAGTCAACAGCGAGTCCCAGGCCGTCCCCAGCCTTTGAGGATGAGACCTCCCCGTTCATGCACTTCCCAAAGCGGCTTTTATGGAAGCTTTAATGAAATTAGCTCGTCCATTTCTGAGACAGGCAAAGATTAAGATCCAGTTTTTTATAGCTTCACATTTTTCTAACTACACACTGAAATGAAGTCAGGAAAGACTTTTAGAATTTTCTCTAAAGTGCACAGCTTGAAGGGCATAGAAAGCTTGGAAGCCGAGTAGAAGATGTGAGAGAGAGATCTGGAAGTTCAGTGTTTTACCAACTGAGACAGCCATGAGGCTCTCTTAAAGCCCGTGGCCCACTAAGAGCCAGCAAGGCGGACAGACACCCCAGGGGACCACCGATTCACACCCCAGAGGAAGGGCGGGAAGACCATGCTCGCTTGCAGGTGGACGCTCGGACACTGTCTGAACTCGCTGGAAACAGCAGAATCAGAGCCTCTCTGAGGTCACCAGGCCTGGCATGGCTGGGCACAGCTGGACCTGTCCAGACAGGAAGTGACCCAGCAACTCTCTCCTAGTCTCCCGGCCAGGGTCAGTGGGAAGAAAGCAACCTGCAGGTCCAGATGGGAGTCCCCTCGGCTGGGCAACTGCAAGCCTGGCCTAGGCTGCCCCTACCTGCTGCCCTCAGGGTGGCCGGGTCAACTCAGCCCACAGTCTGCACATACAAAGGGCGCCTTGGGGACAGTCCCACACACAGGCGAGCACAGGACGACTCAGGGTGTCTTGTGCAACCGTCTCGGCTCCATCACCCCTTAGCCTTCCTGGAAAAGCACAGCGCCCCGCCCCGTGGTGACACCAGGCTGGACACCAGCACCACCTGGAGCTGAGAGTGACCTGTAGGGGTTCCTCATGTGGAGGCCAGGGAAGGAGGGAGATAAAACCACAAATCAGTACAATTTCTGTATGAAACGGAAAACCTGGAAGGCACAGCAGAAACATGCTGGGCCTCTCACTCAGAGGCAGGCACCGTTAACACTTTTGTATCCAGGTCCAGTGGGGGCGGGGCTGGTGGGGACCTCAGGAAGAGGTCCGAGGGGAGCCAGCAAGGGTCTCTGGCAGGGCCGCGTGTCCACAGGGCTCCCCTCACAGTCAGTGCAAGGCACCCTCTCCCGCATCCCCACAGCAACAGCCTTCGTTAGGGAGTGTGCAGGAGTGTGGAAGCCAGCGGGCCCCAACACTGACAGCGTCACGCAAGCCAAGGCTGATCCCTTTCTGCTACAGAAGCACAACATCCCCGGTCAGCACCCAGTTCAGGAGCCCAGACCACCCTGAGCCCTCGGGCTGACCGTGAAGAGCCACTCGACCCGTCTGCCAGAGGCCCCACTTGGGCGAGGCTGTGGTGAAGTGGGTTAAAGCCCTGGCCTGCGGTGCCAGCATCCCATGTGGGCTCCAGTTTGAGTCCTGGCTGTTCCATTTCCCACCCAGCTCTCTGCTGTGGCCTGGGAAAGCAGGAGAAGATGGCCCAAGTCTTTGGGCCCTGCACCCATGTGGGAGACCCGGAGAAAGCTCCTGGCTCCTGGCTTCAGATCTGTTCAGTTCCAGCTGTTGCGGCGATTTGGGGAGTGCACCAGCAGATGGAAGACCTCTTTTTCTGTCTCTACCTCTCTCTGTAACTCTGCCTTTCAAATAAATAAAATAAATCTTTAAAAAAAAAAAAAAACCGGCCGGCGCCGCGGCTCACTAGGCTAATCCTCTGCCTTGCGGCGCCGGCACACCGGGTTCTAGTCCCAGTCGGGGCGCCGGATTCTGTCCCGGTTGCCCCTCTTCCACGCCAGCCCTCTGCTGTGGCCCGGGAGTGCAGTGGAGGATGGCCCAGGTGCTTGGGCCCTGCACCCCATGGGAGACCAGGAAAAGCACCTGGCTCCTGGCTCCTGCCATCGGATCAGCGCGGTGCGCCGGCTGCAGCGCGCTGTCCGCGGCAGCCATTGGAGGGTGAACCAACGGCAAAAGGAAGACCTTTCTCTCTGTCTCTCTCTCTCACTGTCCACTCTGCCTGTCAAAAAAAAAAAAAAACAAAAACATAAACACAATGCAATTCAAACCACTGTTGGGCTGTCAGCCTCAGCTTCCTCCCACCTGGACAACGCTAAACAAAGGCCTCGCTCTCCCGTCTGCAGGTTTTCTTGAGCCCATCAGAGACCCACGGCCCCAGGGTTACTGTATGAACACCTGGGAAGGTAAGGAAATTCAGGCTGTTTCAGGACAGGCAGGACCCGGCCACAAGCGTGGACAGTCCTGAAGGTGGGCTGATGGGAGGACGCAGAGCCCCTGCTGGGGACGACCTCCAGGGGGTTGCAGAAGAAACGGACAGGGCCAGAACCCAGAGTAGGTCCAGGGGTGGCACTGTTCTCCCCCAGTACAAAATGCCCAGGGACTTTTCCCATTACCCATGGAAGGGGTGGGGGCCCAAGCTCTGAGGAGGCCCCGCCCCCAGGTACAGGGACTCCTAGGCTGCCTGTCGAATGCTAAGAAGTGCCTTGGTCCAGAGCGTGGGTGGTAGGAGGGCACCGAAGCACAGAAGCCGGCAGCCAGACCCTGGGCCTCCAACCGTGGCCGGCCCTGCTCCTCCACCAGGCTCAGTGCTCACTCCTTCCCTAAAGCTCTGGGCTGGGGGAGCCCTGAGCCCCCCACCAGGGTTGGCTGCTTCCTCTGCACTCGGCAAGCCCAACTTGCGAGATGCACACCTGCAGAAGGCACCTGACCCGAGTGCTGGAGGACAGCCACCCGAGAAGCCAGCCGGCCACTTCCCTCAGCAGGTGCGCAGGGAGGGGCACACGTGGGGCAGCCGCAGGCTCACTCCCCAGTGGCCCAGGAAAGGCGCCTACCTTGGAAGAAGCTCTTCACCCTGAGGTAGCTGACGCTGAGGCGCAGCACCGAGAGCTTGTCCAGCTTGGAGATGACGTCGGGGGGCAGGGGCAGCAGGCTGGCCAGGTGGTCCAGCTCGGCATTGAGGCGGTCCCGGTGCCTCTTGGAAGGGTTCGACTTCTCAGCCCCCAAGGCAGGCCTCCTGTAGGGAAATGACCTCAGTCAACGGGGACTGTCCACCAGGAGCCTCTGCCCTGCCCTCAGAGACTTGTACTGGAAGGAGCCTGATAGGAGACCAGCACTGCTGTTTAGACCAAAACTCACCCACTGCCGCCAGCAGGGTCCCCAACTCACCCACTGCCGCCAGCAGGGTCCCCAACTCACCCACTGCCACCAGCAGGGTCCCCAACTCACCCACTGCCACCAGCAGGGTCCCCAACTCACCCACTGCCGCCAGCAGGGTCCCCAACTCACCCACTGCCACCAGCAGGGTCCCCAACTCACCCACTGCCGCCAGCAGGGTCCCCAACTCACCCACTGCCACCAGCAGGGTCCCCAACTCACCCACTGCCGCCAGCAGGGTCCCCAACTCACCCACTGCCACCAGCAGGGTCCCCAACTCACCCACTGCCACCAGCAGGGTCCCCAACTCACCCACTGCTGCCTATCAACAGCCCCCAACTCACTCACTGCCACCAGCAGGGTCCCCAACTCACCCACTGCCACCAGCAGGGTCCCCAACTCACCCACTGCCGCCAGCAGGGTCCCCAACTCACCCACTGCCGCCAGCAGGGTCCCCAACTCACCCACTGCCACCAGCAGGGTCCCCAACTCACCCACTGCTGCCTATCAACAGCCCCCAACTCACCCACTGCCACCCAGCAGAATCCCCAACTCACCCACTGCCACCAGCAGGGTCCCTAACTCACCCACTGCCACCCAGCAGGGTCCCCAACTCACCCACTGCCACCAGCAGGGTCCCCAACTTACCCACTGCCACCAGCAGAGCCCCTAACTCACCCACTGCCACCCAGCAGAGTCCCCAACTCACCCACTGCCACCAGCAGGGTCCCTAACTCACCCACTGCCACCAGCAGGGTCCCCAACTCACCCACTGCCGCCAGCAGGGTCCCCAACTTACCCACTGCCACCAGCAGAGCCCCTAACTCACCCACTGCCACCCAGCAGAGCCCCCAACTCACCCACTGCCACCCAGCAGAGCCCCCAACTCACCCACTGCCACCAGCAGGGTCCCCAACTCACCCACTGCCGCCAGCAGGGTCCCTAACTCACCCACTGCCACCAGCAGAATCCCCAACTCACCCACTGCCACCCAGCAGAGCCCCCGACTCAGTACATGGAGGGACACACAGGGGCTCCTGCAGGGGCAAGGGCACAGGGAGAGGTTCTCAGCCCCATGTACGTGTGTGTGCATGCGCGTGTGCACCTGTGCGTGTGTGTGCATGCGCGTGTGCACCTGTGCATGTGTGCACCTGTGTGTGTGCATGTGTGTGTAAAACAACGCATCCACTCAGCCTCTTTCATGTTCTCCTCGGTGTTACCCAATCCCAACACGTTGCAGTAAAATAAAATACTTCCTCAGGGCGTCAGAGCAGACCCTGCAGAGCCCTGGGCCTCGGTTTCTCCTCTGTAGCTGAGGAAGCAGAGCTGGGACTGAGAAGGCAGAGATGAGGACATCCTGAAAAAAACGGTGGCCACTGCCCCAGAAAGGACGTCGACGACTCTGACCCCTGCAGGATTGGTTCTACAAGAGGAGGGAGCAGCCTGCCACGCATCTGGTCTACCTCCTGACGCTCACCCCGCAGTGACCCCTTCCCCTGACCCCTCGCCTTGTGTGACTTCCCCAAGTCAGCACATACAAACAGCATCCTATGATATTTACATATCATCCACTTCTTGCCATCCAAATAAAAGTGGCAGCCAGAGCCGGAGCTGTGGTGTGGTAGGCCATGCCTCCTCCTGCAGTGCCAACTCCCATATGGGCGCCGGTTCGAGTCCTGGCTGCTCCACTTCTGATCCAGCTACCTGCTAATGGCCCGGATAAACAGAAGATGGCCCAAGTCCTTGGCCCCCTGCACCCGCATGAGAGATCCGGGGGGAAGCTCCTAGCTGCTGGCTTCAGCCTGACCCAGCTCCAGGCATCGGAGCCATTTGGGGAGTGACCCAGCGGATGGAAGGAAGACTTCTCTCTCTGTCTCTATCTCTCTTTGTAAATCCATCTTTCAAATAAATAAATAGATCTTTGAAAAAATGTGGCAGCCAGTGTGGGTCCAGTTGCCAGGAATGTTTGTGTAGCTGCGAGGGTGCCGGTGACAGTCACCGAGATCGGATCACCCAGCCTGGGAGCCAAACTGGGGTCTGCTCACATCCCAGGGTGAGGGCATCCTGCTGCCTCAGAAAATTGGGTGGGCTTTGTCCCAAGGTGCCTGGCTTTTCCTTGCATTTGCATTAATAGGTAAGATTAACAGGTAAGCATGCTGGTTGCAACTCACAGCGTGAACCTCTCCATTTTTATTATCTGGCAACACTAAGTCCAGAAGCGATTCCTTTTAACTTTGTTAGTTGAAACACATTTTTCATAGTATAAAATTAATCATTTAGGGGCCAGCATTGTGGCATAGCAGATAAAGCCTCCACCTGTGAAGCCAGCATCCCGTATGGGTGCCAGTTCAAGTTCCAGCTGCTCCACTTCCTAATCAGCTCCCTGCTACTGCACCTGGGAAAGCAGTGGAGGATGGCCCAAGTGTTTGGGCCCCTGCACCCATGTGGAAGACCCGGAAGAAGCTCCTGGATCCTGGCTCCTGGCTTCGGCCTGGCCCAGCTCTGGCCATTGTGGCCATTTAGGGAGTGAACCAGCAGATAGAAGATCTCTCTCTCTCTCTCTCTCTCTCTCTCTCAACTCTGGCTTTCCAATAAATAAATTAACCATTTATAAGTGAACATTTCAGTGGCATTTAGTATATTATGAATTTGTGCCACTGTCACCTCTGTCTAGTTCCAAACAGGCAGCTCACTACCCACCTGCTGTCATGCCTGATTCCTCGTACACAGACCCTAGCAGGCATCAAATCTGCTGGTTGTAGGCGCTCGGTAAAAATGGAATCAAGCAATTGGGGCTGTCAGGGTGAGTTGTGCTGTGCAATGGATCAGTGCTTCTTTCTTTCTTTTTTCTTTTGAGAAGAGACAGAGAAGAGAGAGAAGGAAAAAAAAAAAAACCTCTCTTCCACTAGGTTTACACCCTAAATGCCTGCAAGTGCCAGAGCCAGAGATAGGAGCCCAGAACTCAACCCAGGTCTCTGATGTGAATGGCAGGGATCCAACTATGGGAGGCACCAGGGTCTGCGCTTGGTTGAAAGCTGCAGTCAAGGAACCAGAGCCAGCTCTCTGTCTCACTTCTTCCTGTGGGTGAGCCACAGCCCGGCGGACGACGGACATGCTCACCACGTGGGCTGCTCCCTCCTCTGCATGCAATGCACACCTGTGTCAAAGACTGGACGTCCGAGCAAGGCACTGGGAGATCCTACGGAAACTACACTCAACGTCTGAGGAACCACCGCGGCGGGCCGCCTTGCACGCTGCATCACAGTGGCGCACAGAGCGCCACTCCTCCGCAGCCTCACCAAGTTCTGTCGTCCACTCAGCCGATCACAGCCACCCTGGTGGTGTGAGGCAGATCTGATCTGCGTTCTGCTGCTGGCTGGTGATGCTGGACATCATTTCCCGGGCTTGATGACCATTCACACAGCTCGGAGAGAGGTCTGCTCAAATCTCAGCCCATTTTTAAATGGAGTCGCTGTTTTTTTTTTTGTTTTTGAGTTGTAAGAGTTATGTTTGCTGAATACTAGGCACTTATCAGATATATGATTTGTAAATATTTTCCCATTCTGAGTGTTATCTTTTCACTCTTTGCTGATTGTCGTGATTCCCACCCCAAAATTACTCAGCTGCGGGCCGAGAGTTAAACAGGCAGGAGACGCTGGAGATGAACTGGCATTGTCCACCAGGAGGTATCAGTGAGAGCCACCAAGGCTTCCTTGGGAAACAGGGGGGACCCCTGGTGGTCAGGTGGCAGTGTGTGGGGGACACAGATTGGGGAGAGACACCAGGGAGACGGGGGTGGCACAGCAGAAACCCGGATGTGACCACCCCACAGTGCCTCCTCCCTGGGGCTGTCAAGGTCATGGCTGTCTCCCTCGTCCCCTTCTCTGTGCACCCCGCCCACATCATGCATGGCCCCTTGCCTCCCCCCAGCTGCCACAGTGCCCCATGCACCCCAGCGAGGTGCCCCAGCTCAGATGTCACCTCTGTTTAGAGCTGGGAGAGGCTTCCTGCCGCGAGCCGAGCCCTCCTCACACCTCATCCCCAACCCCAGCGCCATGGACTGGGACGGGGTGGGGAGCACCTGCCTCTGAGCCGCCTGAGGCCTGCAGAACCGTGTGCGCTGGCCCTGCCACAGGTGCCACTCAGGGCTGAATCAATCCGCAGCAGGTGTGGCCTGCAAATGACGCTACAAAGGTCCAAATGGCCCTGGGCAGAAGGGAAAGCTCACTATTCCTGAACTAGAGCCACCAGGGACCCAGGACACCTGGGCGAGTTCGCAGGCACAGAGCTGTGAAGGCCGACCCCTCTGGAACCCACCTCTCCTGCAGGCACTTCTCCCTCCAGGGCCCCACGCCAGGTGGGTGGGGCTCAGCTCACTCACTCAGCACGAGGCCCTAAATGACCAGAAAGATACACCACGTTCTTGGACTGGAAGGCAACACTGATAAAATGGAGCTTCTCCACCAAACGGACCCACAGAGCCAATGTCATCTCAATTGAAAATTCCAATATGTCTTCTTTTTCCACCATGCATCTTTGTTTCTTTTCTTTTTTTTAAAAGATTTTTATTTATTTACTTGAAAGTCAGAGTTGCAGAGAAAGGTCTTCCATCCGCTGGTTTACTCCCCAAATTGCCGCAAATGCTGGAGCTGGGCCAATCTGAAGCCAGGAGCTTCTCTGGGTCTCCCACACTGGTACAGGGACCCAAAGACTTGGGCCATCTTCCAGTGCTTTCCCAGGCCATATCAGAGAGCTGGATTGGAAGTGGAGCAGCTGGGACTCTAACCGGAGCCCATATGGGATGCTGGCACTGCAGATGGTGGCTTTACCTGCTACACCACAGTGCTGGCCCAACAGGTCTTTTGACAGAAACTGACAAGCAGACTCTAAAATTTTCCTGGAGCAAGTAGGACCTATCATAGCCAATTAAGAAGAAGAACATGGAGCTGGTGCTGTGGCATAACTGGCTAAGCCTCTGCTTGCAGTGCCGGCATCCCATATGGACACTGGTTCGAGTCCCGGCTTCTCCTCTTCTAATCCAGCTCTCTGCTATGGCCTGGGAAAGCAGTGGAAGATGGCCCAAGTGCTTGGGCCCCTGCACCCACGTGGGAGACCCAGAAGGAAGCTCCTGGCTCCTGGCTTCAGATCAGCTTGGGGGTAAACCAGCAGATAGAAGACCTTGCTCTCTCTCCCTCTCTCTGTAACTCTACCTCTCAAATAATAAATAAAATCTACTTGCCTTACTGATTTTAAGCCTGCTCTAAATCTAAACAGTGGAGGGGGTTTGGTGTTGAAGACCCAGATGTGAGGCCCATGGAGCAGAGCAGACGCACCCACTTCTCACTGGGTCCATTCACTTGACAACACAATAGGGAAAGAAAAATCTCCCATAAATGGTGCTGGGCCAACCGGACGCCCATGGAAATGAATGAACATCAACCCTGAGAAATTAACTCAAAATGGATCCTCGACCCACGCATGAAACCCACCACAAAGCCTAACAAGACAACATGTGCAAGACTCTTCTAGGCCATGGGTTGGTTACAGGGTGCTGAGAGCTCAAGAACAAACTCGACAGACTGTCTTCATCCAGTCTTTGCAATGTCTTCTGGAAGGCAATAGGTAGAAAATGACAAGATGGTCATTGACTAGGGAGAAAGCATTCACAGTTAGGACTGATGCCAAGGACACCACGCGCCGCCTGCAGTGCCGGCATCCCATATGGGCGCTGGTTCGAGTCCCAGCTGCCCCACTTCCCATCCAGCTCTCTGCCGTGGCCTGGGAAAGCAGTGGAGGATGGTGCTCAGCTTCGGCAGCACATATACTAAAAAAAAATTGGAAAGCAGTGGAGGATGGCCCAAGTGCTTGGGCCCCTGCACCCACGTGGGAGACCCAGAGGAAGCTCCTGGCTCCTGACTTCAGATCGGTGCAGCTCTGGCCGTTGCGGCCAACTGGGGAGTGAACCAGCAGTTGGAAGACCTCTCTCTCTCTCTCTCTCTCTCTCTCTCTGCCTCTGCTCTCTATAACTCTGCCTTTCAAATAAATAAATAAATTTTTAGAAAGAAAGAAAGAGAGAGAGAGAAGAAAGAAGGAAGGAAGGTAGAAAGAAACCAAACAAGATCTGGCGTGATTCCAAAACACCAGGAGGCACAAACTCAGGGGCAGCGCCAGGAAGCAGGTCTGCTGCCTGGGGTGGAGGCGGAGGAGGAAACACAAGGGACACAAGGAAACTTCCTCAGTGCCGGAAAGCTTGTAGTCTGGATCCCGTGATCATTCCTGGGTGTACAGAAGGCTGAAGCCTAAATGCACGCCGTCCAACCGAAACAAGAATTTCCATCGTATCCCAGTCGAGATGAAAATGCGAAAAGCAAGGGGGAAGCCCAGCTTCCTGGCTGTATGGGCTGGGACCTCGTCCTTGGCAAGGACTCAGGGGGCCCCAGAGGACACGAACACGGAGCACCGACGGGCACGGGCTGCTCAGGCACCGGCTCCCCTGGCACCCAGACTCCACCAAGGCTAGGACACGAGGGACAGGGTTTCAAAGGCACCACCAGGAAGAGAGGAGCTCCAGCCGCAGCCCGGGGGCCCGCAAGAGGAGGCTTCAGTGCCACGGGTGGATCCACTGCCGGCTGCAAGCTCAGTGCACCCTCCAGCCTCCCCCTACCAAGACCCCAGGGGGAGGACGCCTCGCCCTGGCCCATCACCACCACCCTCCCACAGGGGAGGAGCCTCACGGGGTGCTGGACACACAGTGTCACACACACTCAGGCTGTGTCACACACTATCACACACTGTGTCACACACTCACTGTGTCACACAGCCACACACTCAAGCTGTGTCACACACAGCCACACTATGTCACACACACTGCATCACACTCTTACACTGTGTCACACATACACAGTGTCACACACTCAAGCTGTCACACTCTTACACTGTGTCACACACACTCTCACATACCCTCACACTGTCACACACACTCACACTATGTCACAATGCTATCACACACAGTGTTAGTCATACACACGTGTACACGCACTGTCACACACCCTCACACTATCACACACACTCATGCTGTGTCACACACCCTCACACTTGTGTCACACACCATCACATTTGTGTCACGCATTCATTGTGTCACACACTCACACTGTGTCACTCTTACACTGTGTCACACATACACAGTGTCACACACTCATGCTGTCATGCAGTCACACACTGTCACACAGTCATACATGTGTCACACACACTCACCCTCACACTGTCACACAGTCACAGTGTAGTCACACTGACAGTTAGTCACACACATGTGTCACACACAGTCACACACTCTCACACTGTCACTCTCACAGTATCACACACACTCACAGTGTCACACACACTCATAATGTCACAGTCACACACACGTGTCATACACCCTTACACTGTATCATACACTGTCATACATACACTCACACACCCTCACATTGTGTCATACACACACTGTGTCACACACATTGTGTCAGACACACACACCCTCACACTGTGTTACACACTCAGTGTCACACACTTGTGCTGTCTGTCATACACTTGTGTCACACACATGTTGTGTCACACACATTCACACACACTGTCACACACTCACACTGTGTCACACCACACCCTCACACTGTCACACATTATGTCACACACTTGTGCTGTGTCACATGGTCACACACACATCACACCCTCACACTGTCAGACACATGCTGTGTCACACACACACACTGTGTCACACAGTCACATACCCTGTGTCACATGCTATGTCACATTCACACACACACTGTGCCACACACAGTTTCACACACACTGTATCACACACACTGCATCACACATGCTGTCACAGTCACACACACACATCACATGCACACTCTCACACACCCTCACACTGTGTCAGACACGTGCTGTGTCATACACACACTCATACTGTGCCAATACACTGTTACACACTGTCACACACGCTGTCACACTCACACTGTGTCACACGCATGTGTCACACATCCCCACACTGTGTCACACACACTCACAATCAGACCCACCTGTGGGCAGCCGTGGTCCCTGGCGGGTGCTGCTCCCACCACAAGCCTGCTGCCTCGGCCCTGAGCTCACACGGTACACTCTGCTGCAGTGGCGCCAAACTCCCACCCCAAAACTCGTGGGGGTCTCCTTGTCATTTGGGCGAAGCCACACACAGCCCTTGGTGGCATTCTCCTGAGTGTGGTCTCAGGGCAGAGAGGCTGGGTGCTGAAGGGGAAAGAAGGTTCTAGAACAAATGGTAATGCCTCGCCCACCATCTCGGCTTCCAGCCAAAGGAGGCCTCCCCCAGCCTGGCCTCTTCTTCCTGTCCGTCAGGACGGCAGCCCAGGGCTCGCCCGGCCCCTGGAGAGCGGGTCTCCGCCATGCATCTGTGCCCTCCTGCTGGGCTGCCCGCCCCTGGCTGAGCCTCTCGCCCTCTCTGTTCCTGAAAGCACCTTCTCAATGAAAACACAAAGCCCTCGCTCCTGTTTCAGCGGCACTGGCGTAAGCAGAAGGCACAGCGGGCCTGATACTTTACTGTTTCTGGATGGGCCTCCGCCTCGTCCTCCCCGCGTACACGCAGTCCCCGGGAGGGATCATCGTCTGCGGCCTGCAAGAGAAAGGAAAGGGAGCACGCAGTCGGTCCTGAGAAGCCCCTGGGACCCCAGCACCGCCCGCCTCCAAGGCCGCCAGGGGCTGCTGGCCCCGCTGCCCCCACGCGCAGGGAGCACGCTGGGCCGCCTGCCGCGGGAACGGCTCATGCCCCGCCTCACCGAGCAGGGAAGCCCTGGAAGGACACAAGGAGGCCCCAGGCCCTCAGCTGTGACCCTGGTGCCCAAGTCCATGCAGCCAGAGGGAGTAGCCAGGACCCCCACACGTCTGTCCACCAAGGCCTCACAGGAAAACCGCCCTGTGCTCCTGAGAGCTGCAGACGCACAGCAGGGCGCTCGGACTGACACTGACCTGAGTCTGCTCCCACTGGGCACGGCCACCGCTGCACACCCCACGCTGTGGCCTCTGGCTCTGGGCCAACAGGCCTCCCTATCCAGGTGACATCTCCGCCCACTCTGAGGGCTGCACCAGGCCCTGCTGACTGCACCCCAGCGGTGCCGGGCCAGGCACATCCACCTACGACATCACCGAGGAGGGCTGTGCCCAAGACTGCTCACTCGCCCAGCCCCACCCAGAGACTGGTCCCCTTCTTGCCACAGAACCCTAACTTTCCCGTGCAGTGGACATCTGAGCCCCCGACCTCCGGCAGACCCCACATGTGGCATCACCCCAGCTCTGGGCCAACAGCCCCAGGGGAGGCCCAGGAGCCTGCGCCTGACCTCATGCACGTGCAACCTGCTGGAGGAAGTGAGCACAAACACACGTCCTGCCTGGGCAGAAAGTGCGAAGCCCAGGTGAGCAGAGTAGCTGGACAGAAATCCACACCAACACCCACGGAGTGGGCCTGGGGTAAAGGAACAGCCTGGGCACAGAGAGGACACTGTCCAGTGACCGAGGGGCCAGCGGAAAGGGGATGGACCCAGCTAGAAATCTGCAAAATGCGCAAGGCCAAGGCCAGTAAAACGTCAAGGACAAAACGTCCCCCGACTCTGCAGGGGGAACTGGGAGACCACGCCCTGCAGAACACCCCTCTCCCCCTGCAGGGGGAACACTCACAGGGAGACCACGGCCTGCAGCTCAGAACACCCCTCCCCCTGCAGGGGGAACACTCACAGGGAGACCACGGCCTGCAGAACCCCTCCCCCTGCAGGGGGAACACTCACAGGGAGACCACGGCCTGCAGCTCAGAACACCCCTCCCCCTGCAGGGGGAACACTCACAGGGAGACCACGCCCTGCAGAACACCCCTCCCCCTGCAGGGGGAACACTCACAGGGAGACCACGGCCTGCAGCTCAGAACACCCCTCCCCCTGCAGGGGGAACACTCACAGGGAGACCACGGCCTGCAGAACCCCTCCCCCTGCAGGGGGAACACTCACAGGGAGACCACGGCCTGCAGCTCAGAACACCCCTCCCCCTGCAGGGGGAACACTCACAGGGAGACCACGCCCTGCAGAACCCCTCCCCCTGCAGGGGGAACACTCACAGGGAGACCGCGCCCTGCAGAACACCCCTCCCCCTGCAGGGGGAACACTCACAGGGAGACCACGGCCTGCAGCTCAGAACACCCCTCCCCCTGCAGGGGGAACACTCACAGGGAGACCACGCCCTGCAGCTCAGAACACCCCTCCCCCTGCAGGGGGAACACTCACAGGGAGACCACGGCCTGCAGCTCAGAACACCCCTCCCCCTGCAGGGGGAACACTCACAGGGAGACCACGGCCTGCAGAACCCCTCCCCCTGCAGGGGGAACACTCACAGGGAGACCGCGCCCTGCAGAACACCCCTCCCCCTGCAGGGGGAACACTCACAGGGAGACCGCGCCCTGCAGAACACCCCTCCCCCTGCAGGGGGAACACTCACCGGGAGACCACGGCCTGCAGCTCAGAACACTCCTCACAAACCTTCAAGAAACAGAACTCAGACAAAGCATGTTCTCCGACACAAAGGAATTAAACTATAAGGATATCTGGAAAAACTCCAAATATTTGGAAAGCCACTTACTTGTACATAACCGTGGCTCAAAGAGAAAAGTCTCAAAGAAATTTTTAAAATATTTTAATTGTAGGAAAATGAAAATGCAAACACATCAGACTTTGTGGGATTCAACTAAACAGGACTCTGCGGAAACTGACAGCACTGAGTGTTCACGTAGAAAAAGTAGACCTCGTGGAACCAAGAGTCAGGCAGAAGCAGAGAAATAATGAGAAGTACAAAATCTAAAGCATAAAATTGTAGGGAAAAATCAATGAAACCAAAAGCTGCCTCTTTGAAAGGATCTGCAACATTGATAAACCCCTAGCCAACACCAGCCAAGAAATGGAGGAGACGCGAGTTGCCCAAATCAGGAATAAGAGGGCGCCGCACCGCCGCACGTGCCGCAGGCGTGAGGAGGCAAGCAAGGGGATGCTGCTGAGGGCTGACCTAAGCCCCGCCCCGGCCTCCACGGAGGAGGTGCCCGGGGTTCGCCTGACACAACCCACACCGTCACAGGAAGAGACAGCAGGGCCCTGCACCGTCTGCCAGCCGGCAAGACAGCCCACCCCCGCCAGCACCCCGACCCCACCTCCCAGGCCCAGAACCGTGAGAACACGTCCATTCCTTGACAGCCTGCGGGACTTGCCACGCAGCCCAGGAGCACCAACACAGAACTTGTGCTGCCCCCACACCACGAAGTAAACGATCAATTTCCTAAAGCCCACGAAACCCACCTGAGAAACCACGAGCAACCTGGACAGTCTGTCTCCGTCCCAGGAAGAGACCCTCCGGGATGGCTTCACTAGTACATCCCACTGTGTAGAGAAGGAACAACACCAGTTATCTGCAGGCTTTGGTATGAATTTAGGAAAAACTGAAAGATAACAGCTGATGGACTGCACTGCCCCGGAAGCCATGGCCAAGTCGCCACGGGGACGGCAGACGAGCACCTCGTGAACACTGACCAGCAACGCAGTGAGCCACACAGGCGACAGGTCCCAGCCACGCGCTTTCACCCAAGGCTCAGGGCTGCTTTAGCACACCAGGAACCCAGGGAATTACTAAAAACCAAAGAAAAATGCACACGATCACCTCAGTATGTGCAAAAACTCATCCGACGAAACCCAAATCCACCCACGATAACTTAAAGCCTTCACCCAGCTAAGAACAAAAGCAGACGTTTAACCCGGCGGGCCTGCGGCGGGCGTCCCAGCTGGGGCAGGGAAGTCCTAAGCCGCACACAGACTCCCTGGCAGGCCCAGGCATCCCCCTGCTGGGACCCACGCAGCAGAAAGGAAACACGCACCAAATCCTCCTTTTTTTTTTTTTTTTTTTTTTTTTTTTTTTTTTTTTTTTGACAGGCAGAGTGGACAGTGAGAGAGAGAGAGACAGAGAGAAAGGTCTTCCTTTGCCGTTGGTTCATCCTCCAATGGCCGCCGCGGCCGGCGCGCTGCGGCCGGCGCACCGCGCTGATCCGATGGCAGGAGCCAGGAGCCAGGTGCTTTTCCTGGTCTCCCATGGGGTGCAGGACCCAAGCACCTGGGCCATCCTCCACTGCACTCCCTGGCCACAGCAGAGGGCTGGCCTGGAAGAGGGGCAACCGGGACAGAATCCGGCGCCCCGACCGGGACTAGAACCCGGTGTGCCGGCGCCGCTAGGCGGAGGATTAGCCTAGTGAGCCGCAGCGCCGGCCTTTTTTTTTTTTTTTTTTTTTTTTTTTGACAGGCAGAGTGGACAGTGAGAGAGAGAGACAGACAGACAGACAGAAAGGTCTTCCTTCCATTGGTTCACCGCTCCCAAATGGCCGCTATGGGCGGCGTGCTCGCTGATCCAAAGCCAGGAGCCAGGTGCTTCTCCTGGTCTCCCATGGGGTGCAGGGCCCAAGCACTCGGGCCATCCTCCACTGCACTCCTGGGCCACAGCAGAGAGCTGGAATGGAAGCGGGGCAACCGGGACAGAATCCAGTGCCCTGACCGGGACTAGAACCTGGGGTGCCGGCGCCGCAGGCGGAGGATTAGCCTAGTGAGCCACGGCGCCGGCGCAAATTCTCCATTTTCCACAGCAGCCGAAAGCGTTAACAACGCGACGTCCACCAGCACATCACTGGAGGAACACTGTGAGCTGCACCACAGGCAGGGCGCACCCCAGCCATTGAGGAACCAAGTCCTGGCCATGCTGTGGCGTGGATGAGCCAGGAGCCGGACACAGGAGGCCACTGGTGTGCTCCTGCACTGTATGTGGCAAACCCAGGATAGGCAAAGCCATGGGGACGGAGGATGCCTGGCAGGTAGGGCAGCACCAGATGGAGGGTGTGGCCACACAACTTGGTCAACACACCAAATGCCCTGATCTGTTCCCTCTTAAATGGTTACTTTTATGGTATATAAATTTTACCACAATTAAAAACAAAACAGAATGCAACTTTACATATAAATACAAATCCAGTCTGCAGTGTTAAGAAAGAAGGTGAAGACCAGGAGAGGCTCAGCACGGACGTCTGGGGGGCTTTGTGAGGGACAGGGGCAGCAGGGCTCCTGCGTCACAGGAGGGCCAACGGGGTGGCCCCGTGGCTGTCTGGCAGGCTGGGGGTGGGGCGAATGTTGTTGATAGGGTCACAGTGGCTGCAGGCTGGGGTGGGACACACGGTGGGTGGGAGGTGGGATGGATGCCTCAGAAGGCTTTGTGGGGTGCTCTGCCTCATGCCGTGTCACTGATGGCCAGGGGCCTGGTCAGGGCGCTTCTCTGAGAAGCCAGGTTGGGCCCCTGTGGCCGAGGCCAGCATACAAGGCCATCTATCTGAACTGCAAGGCCTTCCAACTCAGACAGGAAACCCCCCGCCACGCCCAGGCCTGGCCGACATCCACCAGCACCCACTGGACTGCCCCGTGAGGTCACAGAGGATGAAGGGTCAGAGCTGACCTACCCCCACCCTGAGAGGTCCCGGTTCTGGCACCACCAGCCTCACCCAACTGCTTACCCACGTGAGCCCGGAGCCTCAGGGCGGGAAGGGTTGTGGGGCCGAGGCACGGCCGAGAAGATGAGGCTGCATGAGGAGCCTCGTGGGGGGACTGTGCTGACCCTACACTGAAAACCCCCTTCCAGCCACAGGAACTGAGGCAGGACCCCTCCCCCAGATGTACCCAACCATCATCCTCTGCGGCCACTGGCCACACTGGGAGGACCAGCCCAGCGGCAGGACGGCCCTAAGATTCGGTTCTGGCACAGGCACCTGCAGAGACCCCGGTGGGGGAGGGGAACTAAAGTCCCTCCTCCCTGAGGGAGCTCAGCTCCCGGCCGTGCCCGCGTGGGTGGGGGCTCATCGCCAAGGGCTGCTCCGCCTTACTCAGTACTTGGTTGGACCTGTGCACTCTGCAGAGAGGGACCTCCCTGGGGCTGGACGCAAGTCCCCACTGAAGTGCCCCTGAGGCGGGACACTGAGCGGATAAGGGGGAGGGGCAGACCCTCCCCCCTGGGCTCTTGGGGCCTCCCTGGACGCCTGGCACTGCCTGCAGGACAGTCCAGGCCTCCCACAGTCCGCCGGGGGCCACTGCCACTCTCGGAGAATCTGTTTTCTAGGAGTGCTTCTCCTATGGCAAAGCGGTATCTGCTCATTTTAGGAGAAAGAAAAGCGGAAAACAAAATGAGAAGCATTCCCAGGCCCCTCTCTCCCATGCTCACCACTGTGGGACCACACTGAGTCACCGCCTCGGACGGAAGTGAGGCTGTGCACGGTCACCGCTCGGAGTGTCGGACAAGGTCCCCACCTCACAAAACGGACGACAGCTGCCAACCCGCGCCCCCAAGCATCCCGAGACCGAGCAGGGCCCTCCACCTGCCACAGAGGAGCCGGCCTGGCACATCACGCAGGACCCCAGCCCGCTGCTGAGAGCCCCAGCGGCCCCAGCACACGGCCGGGTGTGGACATCCGGCAGAGAGGTGGAGCAGGCCTCTGCCGGAGGGTCAGGCCCTGACCAGGTCCCCACGTCCAGCACAGGGGGCAGTCACCGAGGGCGCTCACCTGCCAGAGCCCAGGGGCTGCCACACGGAGGGTTGGAGGCCGCCAGCCCCTTCCCTTCTCAGGTCTGCTGGGGGCCGCCCGCCGGGGGATCGCAGGCAACTGCCGGGCCAGAGTTTGGGGCTCGGCCCTCCAGCCACGCCGGTTCCGCGGCCCCTCTACGCACCCCGATCCGGGGGGATTCCTTTGGCCCCTCCAGCTGGGCGGAGGGAACTCCCGGAACCTCGGCCCCTTCCGGGCGGGCGTGAGACCCAGGCGGTGCCCTCTGCCCCCTGTCCACCACGCGCCCGGCCGCCCGCAACCCGGGACCCCAAAGAAACCGAGCTACCGGCAAAGGCGGTCAGCGCAGGTCAGCCCGCTCCCTGGACTCAGCGGTCAGGGCGCCCCTGGGCGGGGAAACTGAGGAACGTGGGCAGCCGGTCCTCACGCAAGAAGCCGTGGGTCGGACGCCAACGCGCCTGCCCCGCCTGGAGACGCGAGGACCGGGGCCGCCCGGCGGGCACTTACCGGGCCTGCGAGGCGGAAGCTCGGGCACGCCCGCGGGGGAGCGTGCCCGGGCCAGGAGCTGCGGCGGCGCGGCGGCCGGCGCGGGCATCGGGGGACCGGCGGCTCGGCGCGCGGAAGGGCGGCCCCACCCCGGCACGCGAGCCGCCCCGCCCCGAGCGCCCGGGGAGGCGGCAGGGGGCGCCCGCGGACTGCGCGCGCCGGGCCGTCTTCGTGCCCCGCGCCCCTCGAGGCCCCGGGCCCACCCTGCGCTGCCCGCGTCCCCTCCCGCCGGGCTGCCCGCGCTCAGGGAGAGCAGGGGTGCGGGGGCAGCGCCTCCGCCTCGCTGCTCCGTGGGTCGTCTCGAGAAGCGGGAAGAGAGGTTCCCGCAAACTTCAAAACGTGAACTTCTGGACTAACCCTCCCGGGAGCGACACGTGCACCAGACACGGAGGAGCGACTTCCGTGGGCGCACGCGGCGACCCCGCCGCCCCGTGCACAACAAGCGCACCGAGCTCAGGGCCCTCCCCCCCACCCCGGGTCCCTCCGGCTGCGCCCCCGCCGCTGCCCGCGTCCCCTCGCGCGCACGCGCCTCCCGCAGGTCCTCTGCCCGGTCCACACCGTCCTGCGGGCGGCCTCGGACTCCCCGGGACATCCCCTGAGCCTCTCCCTCTGGCCCTCACTGAGAGGGGGGATAGGGTCGCTACCGCCCGTCCCTGGGGGTCCCGGAGGCACCCCGCGCCGCCGCGCAAGCCTTGAGCGCGCCCTGCCGGCCCCGGCGCCTGGCGCGGGACGCTCCGCCGCCCCAGCCCGCGCCTCGCCCCGCGCCGCCTGCGGTGCCCCGTGAAGTCTCAGCTCTGCCCACCTCTGCCCGGTAGCAGAGCTCAATCTGCTGGCTGAGCAGATGGGTTTATTTTATTTTTCGAGTTGGAATGATGTGTGGCCATGTTGCTGAGCTCTTGAAATCGCCCATTTGATCTTGAATCAGTTTTCGGGAAGTGGACTACACAGAAGTTGGGTTGGAGAACTCTGAGATTATGAGTGAGCTCGAATTTATTCTTTCATCTTTTTAAGTGTAAATCCAGGAATGTCGCTGCTGCCCTTCCCACAGGGGGCCACAGCTCCCAGGCCCACTTCACCTCCCGTCCCACCAGAGCCCAGGACTCGGGGAGCCAGAGGGGGGAAGCTGCCCCGCCCCCTTTCCTCAAACTGCCCATCCCCTGCCCCCTGCGCTTGTCCTCAGTCTCAGGGCTCTGCAGACCAGCGGGCAGCCACTGCCCATGACCCGTCCAACAGGGCCCCGGGCCCTGGCTTCTGCCCCCAGCTACTTCCCATTCAGATTGTGCAGGTGCCCCCCCCATCCTCACCTGCAGGACCACCTGTCCCCCACCCTAGGCAGGCCCAAGTGCAGCTGGACCCCAGCCATACTCCCCCCTTTCCGCGCAGCCCTCCTGCCCCCAGCTGGGAGCTCCCTCCTATGGGTCACTTGTCCGCCCAGGCCGGGCCGGCAGGGAGGGATGTGCTGACTCCTCCCGGGCTGGGTGAGCACCGGTGCAGCCAGGTGCCACCCCTCCTTTCTCCCGCAGTGCCAGTGCCTCTCAGGCATTATCGCCTGGGCAGCCCCAGCCACGCCTGCTTCCTCTCCCAGCTCACTTTCTCCTGGAGGCCAGAGGAGGACCTGGGCGTTTTGTGGGAGTTGCTGGGCAGCGTCCCGCCCCCACCTTCAGCCGCCCTGCAGCCCCCACGTGGCCCCCACAGTGTCGGGCACTTCTTGTCACCTGGTGTCAGCCAGAGGGGCTTGCTGCTCCCTCACTGTGCGGGATCAGCCCCGGCCTGACGTGGGCGCTGAGGGTGTGTGTGCACGCGAGGGGCTGCAGCTGAGCGGCAGGCCCCAAGTGCACCTTCTCTGTGAGATCAAGAAGGGCCCAGCAGCTGGGCTGCAGGTGCTGTCCCTAGACACTGCCTCCCAGGAGGCCCAGGCAGAGGCCCAGGGAAGGGGGCCCAGCCCGCAGCTTCTCATCCCGGTGTGGCCGACAGATTCCCGGCTGCATGTGGAGCCTGAGACGGGGCAGGCAGCAAATGGGCCAGTGGCTCCTCCAGCCAGGACCTTTCAGTAAAAGGTAGCTCAGGGATTGTTCCTGAGCACTGGGCGGGAACAGGCAGGAACGGGCTCTAAAGCCACAGACACTGCAGGGCTGGAGCCAGTGAGGGCTGCGTCCCTGCCCTCCTCCCCTCTCCCCTTCCTCCCCACCTCTCAGAGGGGGTCTGGTGACAGTGCTCTCAGGACTAACAAACTAAGGCTCATGCTAATCCTGGGCAAGAACAAACACAACCAGCAGCTGAGGTGTGGGGAGGTGAAGCCCCCGGGGCCCAGCAGAGCCCCTCGCCTGCATCTCCCAGGAGCTGTGCAGGCCAGCACCCACCTATGCCAGCAGCCCCTTCTCTGCGAGCCCCAAGGCCCTGCAGAGCCCTGGCTGCTTCTGGCATCACCCCCCCCCCCCATCAGGTGCTCCTCTGTGAGCTGGGGACCAAACCTTGGGCCACGCCCCTGACCCCTGAGCACAAGCGCCAGGCACACCCCTCACGAGACGGCCAGCCCCCCACAGTGGGCCTCAAGGCTCCCCAGTGGCATCAGTGGGAACTGTGTGGCTGGGGGCAGCTCGTGGCCCAGAGCATCAACAGAGACCTCAAATCTCACCCTCCACTCTGACCCCTGGCTCCCACCCCCTCCTGGGGCTTGCAGGGTGCTGTCCTGTGGGTGCCGGCCCGTGCTTATGTTCAGATCCTGGGGCAGGCACTTCACCCTCTTACATAGCCCCACATACCAGAGCAGGTGCAGAGCCGGGGAGGGCGGGGAGGAGCCGGCTGGCTGCCGTGTGCTTCCTTTTTGTCTGGTCCCAGACACCGTGAGGGTTCCTCTGCTCCCTCCACACCCAGCGAGGGCTTCTGCAAACACCTCTCACTGAACCTGCATGGGGCTCAGCCTCTGACAACCTCTCCAGCCCCCACCCCGTGACTGACACTCGCTGGAGAGCTTTGGCACATCCTTCCACTGCCCCCCACTTACCCCTCTCCCTGGTGGGTCCTGTCTCTGAGCCCCAGGCCTCCTCCTTCTTGGTTTCTCTTGCAGTGTTGCTGGCGTCCATCTTCCAGGAGTTTCCTCATTGAGGGAACAAGGGAGAATCGAACACTCGGTCCCTGAGCGTCTGAGGGTGGCCAGGCTGAGGACCAACTCCACTCAGGAAAAGGTCCCTCCCAGAGGGTCCAGGGTTTGCTCAGCCTCCCTGTTTCCATGCCACGCCGGGGAACCACAGCTGTCCGAATTCCTGGGTCTCCCGGAACCTGTGCTGCCGCTCTGTCCTTGAGATTCTTGCTAGTGCACCTCAGTGAGGCCTCTGCCCACAGAGCAGCCACTTGGGGTCCTTCCAAGCCAACCTCATGTCTGTCTGTAGTTCTGGAAAATTCTTCATGTGTTTTTTGTTTTGAAAATTTCATCTGTGTAGTTTTTGCTGTGTTTAACCTTTTCCTTTCCAAATACTGTGTTTTAATTTCTAAGAGTTATTTCTCTGGGGCCCGTGTGGGGTACAACAGGTTAAGCTGCTTCCTGTGACGTCAGCATCCTGTATGGGTGCCAGTTCAAGTCTCAGCTGCTCCACTTCCAATCCAGCTCCCTGCTAATGCCCTGGGTAAACAGCGGAAGATGGCCCAACTGCTTGGACTCCTGCACCCACATGGGAGACCTGGATGAAGCTCCAGGCTCCTGGCTTCAGCCTGACCCGGCACTGGCCATTGCAGCCGTTTGGGGAGTGAATCAGCAGACAGAAGACCTCTGTCTCTCTCAAGACCATTCCATGGGGAGGGGCGTTCTCTCAACAATGATGCAGAGACACCTGGCCCTTCACATGCAGAAGGAGGAAGCTGGCCCCTTACCTAAAACCATACACAAAATTTAGCTAAAAATGGACCAAAGTCCTAAGCGTAAGAGCCAACCCTATAAAACGCGAGAAGTATGGGAAATCTGGAATGAGAGTAGGCAATTTCTGTGCTACCATGTGTAAAGCATAGACGGCAGAGGGCACAATCAGTACAATAAAAAGGCAACAAAAGGGAGAGAACTTTGCAAGTCAGGTGCCCAGCAAGGATGAACACCCACAATGTACACACAGCTCCTGCAACCAACAACTGAAAGACAGACATCTCAATTTCTAAAACAGGCAAAGGATTTGAAAAACATTTCTCCAAAGAGACACAAATGGCCTATAGGCACACAAAAAGAGGCTCAGCATCACCGGCCCTTAGAGAGATGCAGCTGGAAACCAGACGGAGATGCACTGCACCCATCAGCATGGCTGCGAGCGGAAACACAAGCAGAGGAAGGCAAGCGTCGCAAAGCTGCAGGAGACACCGGGCCCTGCCGCATCGCTGGCGGTGCAGTCACCGTGGGACGGAGCTGGCAGCCCTTCAGAAGTTAAAAGTGGGCCGGCGCCGCAGCTCAATAGGCTAATCCTCCACCTGCAGCGCTGGCACACCTCGGTCAGGGGCGCCGGATTCTGTCCTGGCTGCTCCTCTTCCAGTCCAGCTCTCTGCTGTGGCCCGGGAGTGCAGTGGGGGCCCTGCACCCGCATGGGAGACCAAGAGGAGGCACCTGGCTCCTGGCTTCAGATCAGCGCGATGCACCGGCCGCAGCATGCCAGCCGCGGCGGCCATTGGAGGGTGAACCAACAGCTAAAGGAAGACCTTTCTCTCTGTCTCTCTCTCTCACTGTCCACTCTGCCTGTCAAAAAAAAAAAAAAAAAAAAAAAAAGAAGTTAAAAGTGGAGTTACCTTTAACCTGGCAGTTCCATGAGTAGGTACGTGACCCAACAATGGACAGCAGGGAATGCGCTGTGCGCCGTGGCGTTCTTCATGATGGACAAGCGGTGGAAACAACTCACCTGTCCATCGAGGGTCCCAGCGTGGGCCGTCGTACAGCAGGCTACACGTCAGCCTTACCTGGCCCGTGCTATACCAGGGACAAACCTTGCACGCTATGAGCACAGAACACAGACCCCGTGTGACGCCATGTACCTGAGGTCCGAGACGAGCCAGACTCAATCAGGAAGCAGAACAGCGGCTGCCAGGGGCTGCAAGAGGAGACGGGATCGTGTTTAATGGGCAGTCTCGGCTTGGG